TGCGGACCTCCGCGTAAGTCCAATACGGTACGGCACACGTGACATGCTCACCAATCATTTGTACTGTATTTATTGTTCTTTGAAGTATGGTAACTCCATACAAACGTAGCAGCGTGACTTGTATGTGTATAACTATTTACTTAATAGTATTTTATGCAATCGTTGCATAATGAGGGTTCTTAAAGTAGAGTACCGTGTTTAGGCCACGGTGTTTTGATATAGGTAAGGCCCATTTGCCTGAAGAGTTGCCAGGGATGGATGGGTCTTATTTCGTCTCTATTTCTGGTTATATACTCGATGGGTTTATGATAATTGAAATAAATAAATAAATAATTTTTTAATTACATATTATTATTTGAAATCATAATTCACAGATTTTGCTTACCTAATAGATTTTCCCAAGCATTTGGCTCCAAAGTCAAAGATATAAGCTGGTACCACGTGAAGGAAGAAAGTCAAAAACAGGAACGAATACTTGTTGGTCGTATTTAAGTAGTATGGGTAGTACACTTGTCGATTCGTGGGGTAGACGGGTTTTACATATTTGCCTAAACTGTAAAGAATATCTTCTGTGGATGGAAAAAAAAAATTATTATCTTGAAAAACACTTCGATATTTTAACGGAATCGATCCAACGGCGTTTACGAAGTTAGTCGATAAAATAGATTATATGAAAAATTGAAGTCCTTTTATGTGGGTACATTTTTAAGACTTGAAAGGCCTAAAATATGGGAATGCATTAATTAAACTTGCATTATAATAAATTAATAAAATTGAACAAAATTCAGACTTTGTTTAAAATAATAAGAGATTTCCATATTACATTCTTGCTTTGTAAACATTGACTTACAATTATATGGACGTCGGGTCCGCACTAAAAAGTGTCCGGACTTATAGGGCGTTAGAATCGTATACAGAGCGTCATTCACGCTTTAGCCTTCATTTGTTCGACTGACAGCGAAGCAAGCAAAATTAGACAGTACTGCGATGACATTACAAATTTAAATTCAACGTTTTAGCTTTTTCATATTCCTTTACATGTCACTACGTTTAAATAGGTTGACTTGGGATATTTTTTTCGTGGTTTTTGTATTAGAGCCGTCGTTCATTTATTTGTAAGTCAATGTTTGTAAACAATAGGACGTTTGGTAACTTTCATTCGATACTGCGTTCAGCAGGTCGATTCAGAACCTCACGTAACCCTGTTGTCGACCGATTCGATCAGATATCGTAAGTTTTAATTTTTATTCACAATACTTTTATACTTTCAAAATTAAACTCAGAGAGCACATTTTAATACTGCAAAATACGCCTGGAGAAATTTTATTTATAAGCAAAGAGAAACATAAAATACATAGAAACATAGTGACAATTTTATTTTTCTGATCTTACCCACTTAGAATAATAACGCATAGAATGATAGTTTCATATCAAACGAACTGTCACAAGTGAGGCAAAAAACAAATTCATGTAGGCTAGTTTTAGTAGTCGGTTAATTTTCGGTTTTAGTGAATATTTATATAAAAATACAAGTTGCAACGCGTTACTTCCTTGTGGAATGTGATGTTAGTATCTATTTTATGTTTGTCTGACGTATTTTTATACTCATTTACCGCATATTTCGTCATTTTTAGCTAAAATTCTTGATCTGTTCGCGGTGCAAGTTGACCTTGAGCACTGAAGGCCCGCCCGCTCGTGTAGGCCCAATGGGAGCGCTTCAATTTGCCTCACTTAGCGTGTGCGGACTAGGTTTCTATGCGTTATTATTCTAAGCTTACCCATTTTTCTGATGTACCCATTTTAATGCGCATCCACAATTTTTATTTTCTTTTAATTTTATTGGTAATTTTTATTTTTAAATCGGCCACTTCAAAAAGGGTTCACTGAAAACCAGCGCTGTGGCTCCGCCGCAGTATTTGCTGAGTTGGGCCCTTTTCAGTGCAATACGCGTTAAGCATAAATTCATATTGTACTTGTAACATGTGTTTGTGCTGAATAAATTTATTTTCTTTCTTTCTTTTCAATTTTGCCCTGCAGCTTGCACTTATACTCTGTAGCCGACCCAGCAGATCTATGAAATCTATTAAAATTAGATTATATTGATTATCCCATAAATGAGGCATACGTACAAATTGGTATAGGGGAGAGCGGGGCTAAAAGTTACCGGGGTAAGTTGTTCCGATTGAAATAGCTCCAAGAAGAAAAGAGATAAATATATGTTCGGAGTGCGTCGTAAAATGGTACGATGCAGCGCACCGACGGCCGCCATATTAGTCCGGCCAGTGCCATCTTATGGTGTAGCTGTGTTAGTGTGTATGCTTCTGATCTACGTGAGTAAATATTTTTATATTTGTTATTTTTGGTTAATTTCACCGACTTTGATTGTTAGCCTTTAGTTTATTTGTGTGTTTGTGTAAAAATATAGCTAGTATTGATATGCTAACGTCAAAACTAAGTTTGTTTAATAACCTAACCTATCATTTTGCTTTACGTCGAAGCATGTCATTTGGGGCTAGATGTTACTTTTCTTTGGGGCATGTTGTGACCCGGAACAACTAACCCCAATGAATTGAAAGTAGAAAAGAAGTGCTAATTGAGGTTATTTTATTGCAGCATGCGGAATTACAAGAGAAAATCGAGTCGAGGTACTATTTCTCAAGAACTGATGCAAAGAGCAGCAGATGCAGTAATCAAGGATGGGAAAAACAATTAAAACTGTTGCTAAGGAACTGGATATTTGTCATATGACATTGTCCAGATTTGTAAAGAAGTTGAAGTCGGGAGAACATCCGAAAGTTGGCTATAAAAAAGTGAGATTGGTTTTTAGTCCAGAACAGGAAAAAGAGATGGTAGAGTATTTACTTAAATGTTCTTCAATATTTTTTGGTCTATTACCAGATGAAGTTAAAAAATTGGCATACGAATGTGCAACGAGATTTAATGTGCCTGATATACCATCGTCTTGGCATAAAAACAAATCAGCTGGCCGAGATTGGTTAACAGGCTTCTTGAAAAGAAATCTTGAGCTTTCGATTAGGACACCAGAATCGACAAGTGCAAGCAGAGCAACATCTTTTAATAGATATAATGTCAACGAATTCTTCACAAAGCTGTGCAAAGTATTGGACACTTACAAGTTTTTACCCTCAAGAATCTACAATTTAGATGAAACCGGAGTTACCACAGTGTTAAAACCCAGGAAAATATTAGCAAAAAAAGGCGCTAAGCAAGTTGGAGCACTCGTATCTTCAGAACTAGGCACTTTAGTTACTGTGGAGCTGGCAGCAAACGCATTGGAAAATACAGTTCCTCCTATGTTTATTTTCCCAAGACTGAAATATAAAGATATATTTATAAAAGGTGGGCCACCGGAATCCATCGGTGCAGGAAACAGCTCTGGCTGGATGACAGCTAAAGAGTTTCTCATATATATAGATCACTTTATAAAACATACCAGACCTACTCCTACAGATCCGGTTTTGTTATTACTCGACAACCACCAATCTCATGTCGATATCAATGTGGTAGAGAAAGCTAAAGCAAACTCAATTGTTATGCTGTCGTTTCCTCCACATTGCACCCACCGTCTCCAACCATTGGATGTTGGAGTAAATGCGCCATTCAAAAATTACTGTGCGAAAGCCCAGGACAATTGGCTACGTAGCAACCCTGGCAAGACTATGTCTATATATGAGATACCAGAAATTGTCAAATATGCGCTGCCATTAGCTGCAACTCCCATCAACATAATGGGCTCTTTTAGGAAGACTGGTATCTGGCCCTTAAATCCCGACATATTTTCTGATGAGGACTTCGCTCCGTCTTTTGTCACGGATCGCCCTTTGCCTGCATCAGATGAATCTAAAGCACCTGTTCTGATCCCGGACAACAGTGATGGCAATGACAAAAATGCTTCTCTTACTGATCATAGAGAAATTTGGGATGAGCCAGGACCATCTTGGGCTGGATTACCACCGAAGTCCTGTACAGAAATACCTGTTGGTTTCTCCCCGGAAATAGTCAGGCCCTTTCCAAAGGCACCACCGCGGATTGGAAATAAACGACGCATAAGGAAAACTGCAATTTTGACAGATACTCCAGAAAAGCAAGCCCTGGCGGAAGAACGATCCAAGAAAAGGAAGAAAGATGTAGAGAAACTGTGTAAAGATAAAGGTAAAACTAAAGGAAAATGGAAGGGCAAAGGTAAGGGAAAGGGGAAGTTCGCTAAACGACAGGTTCTACAAAATAAGGACGAAAGTTCTGATGAAGAGGATAGTTTGGAATACTATTGTATCATCTGTTGCGACAGCTACTCTAACTCTCGTCCTGGTGAAGAATGGGTTCAGTGCCTAGAATGTAAGAATTGGGTCCATTTCAGATGTCAAAAAAAAAAGGGATTTGTTAACATATAAGTGCCCAAATTGTGCTTCAGATGAGTCACTTGATGATTTGTTTTAAGTGTCCTTTTACAATTATGTAAATGATTCATCAAAGTCTGATTATAAATTAAACTCATACGTTCCTAATTTAAGACTGATTAGCTCATTAAGCTGTTAATTTGAGACAAATATTACGTTTAATAGTACAATTTATAGGTGTCATACAATAGTGATTATGTATGTTGTACAAATTGTGATTTATTCATATATATATATGTGCCCAAATTGTGGTTCAGACAAGTCATTTGATGACTTATATAAGTGTTCTTAAATATTTTATAAAAGGTCCATCAAAGGTTAATTATAAATTAAAGTAACTAGTACGTTCCTAATTTGAGACTGATTACCTTATTAAGGTGTTAATTTGATACAAAGATAATGTTTAATAGTACAGTTTATAGGTGTTATACAATAGCACATTGATTATTCCAAGATATTAAAACACAAAAAAGTTTTTTTTATAATGGTTTTGTTAAATTTAGGTATATAGGCAAAGTTACTCGTTACTTTTAAAATATTGTTGCTTAATATTTAAATATATTATTATCTATTCAAGTAATTGTTTTCTTCATCAAACATTCCTCTTATAGACCTAGTAACAACTTGCCCCAGCGCGATAACAACTAGCCCCAAGCGGGGGCAATTTGTTACTTTCTGACTTTTCGTATATAAAATTTAATTAAAAAAAAACTGTTTAATGTGCACCCAAAAGTCTTTCAGAATTTGAAAATAGAATATATTTACCAAATAATGAACTAGCTTTAATTATATTAATAGCACATACTCTACGTAATATTTAAGGTAGTTTGAAAATCGGCACTTTTAGCCCCGCTCTCCCCTACCTGTTTTTGCTTGTTATTTATTCTAAGTTGTTGAAACTCTTACCCCAAAGAATCGCGTTCCGTGTGCTTGAAACGGTGTAAATATTTTTCTCTGCTGCTTGTTGCACACCCGTTTTCCAACCAGCTGCTATAATGGCATTGTTAACATAATCCAATGGTACTAGGTCAATTCGATTATCCCGTACGCCGTAGAGAACGTGGAGTAATCCGAGTCCGACGCCCATCATTAGCTGAGGAAACATATATATCAATGACGGTTTAATTTAAAGATTTCATTCCGCCTTATTTCATTACCCCTTCTATCATCGGGGGACTAGGCGTAGGCTGGGATTCCACCCCTATGTTATGTATTTGGACTCGAACGAAGCGTCTTGCTTCCACATTTATATGAACGGCTATGGGGTGGAATTCCTCGCCTGCAGACTTGTTCCCTGAAAGTTATAACTTGGACCTTTTCAAGGAGAGAGATTATTTAGGTGTGCATGCTACATTGTCAACCTCATTGTCACTTTCCACCGGGTGAGATGGAAATCAAATGCGCACTTACTTTTTATTAAAAAAAATTACGAAACAAACGGAATCACTCTTCATCGATAAATATATATTAAATATGTAATTTTTCAATTATGTCCATTATAGCAAAGTTAAACTGACCGATTTGAAGTAAAACAATTGACTACACCAGTCAATTGTTCCGAATTCATGCTGGCCAATCGGAGCGCAGTAATGATTTAGCGGAATAGTTTTCAAATAATCTCTGTACAGAGTACTAAAAAACCGACCACAAAAGTACGTGGAATTACCATCTATTTACCAAATTTTATTGAAATCGGTTATCGGAAAGTGCGCAAACCCGGATTCACCCCCTAGTTCGCCACTATACGGAACTTGACACAGGAGATAATAAAAATCGGTTCTCACTACTCAAAGTATATTGAGAGAGAAAAACGCCTTGAATTGGAGAATAGCAAAAATCAACCATTAAAATAATTACTCCTTATAATAAAATTTAGGCGCTATTTATAAAAATGAATCTTCATGCGTGAACAGCAACCCTTAGAGGTGGATGATTTTATTCAAAATTAAATGGGACCACTATGAAGGTACCCTCTTTCCAACAAAAAAGAATCATCAAACTCGGTTCACAAATGGCGGAGCTATCGCGTAACATACATACAAAAAAAAACCATACAGTCGTATTGAGAACCTCCTCCTTTTTTTGAAGTCGGTTGACAAATTAAATGACATTTAGTCTCTATTTCTGGTTATATACTCGATGCCTAGGAGTTAGCGCCCTTTTTGGAAGAGAAGCAAGGCCAGGGATGGGCGGGCGTTCTAGTTAGCGCCGGGATTAAATAATTTTTTTTTTTATGGACAACTCACACTTGACCAAATAATTGACTATATTATATTAGACAACATCAACATACGTTGCTATGATCCCAAAGTAAGTTACTAAAACACTCGGAAACAACGACGATGCCATAAACACCAGACTCGAGGCAATATATTGTGAATAAATAAATAAAAATATATAGAAGAGTTAGGTTTCTACACTGACCCGGCCGGAGATCGAATCCGGGACCTCAGAGACGGCGACACCGCGAAAACCGGTTCGCAAGCCACTAGACCAAATAATTGACTATATTAGATAACTTATATTATATCAAATAGGTTACTCTGAGCCCAAAATAAGTAGCTAAGGCACTCGGAAACACCGACGATGGCATAAACACCAAGACCCGAGGCAATATAGAAAAGTTAGCTTTCTACTCTGACCCGGCCGGAGACCAAACCTGGGACCTCAGAGATAGCGACACCACGAAAGCTGGTGCGCAAGCCTCTCGACTACAGAGGCCGTCAAATGACTTTATTCTTCAACAGAAAATCATCATACAACAATATTTAAGATAAAACCCTCAGCTATTTGCTGGTTTACAGGCTTCACCTGGCAAGTATATGGAGGCGGATACCTTTTCGATTATATATTTATATAAATAAGAGGGTACCTCACTCACTATATACGTTTACTACAGAAATAACAAACCCTAAAACTTGAAATCACATACGAACCGACCACCGACCGTTAAAATTGTAATTATAATTGTACTTTCGTTATTTCTAATGACGTAACAGAGCCCACATCACTTACAACCAACAGCACGATGTCTTCTATTGATTAAGCAGAAATGCCTTACACTTGCGCTTGAAAGTATAATGACGATTTACATATTTTAACTAGCTGTATTTACGTATTTAATTTTAGTTAAAACCCATTCATATTAACATAATAATAAATGTTTATTTCAGTACGTAATACAATTAACCTTTTTTTATTACTTCAAATGTTCTGCACTTGACCTCCATCTCACCTCATGGAAAGTGACGACAAGTCTGCAGGCAGGGAATTCCACTCCATACCCGTTCGCCATATAAATGTGGCAGCGTAACGCTTCGTGCGAATCTTTGGAATATCCACAACATACCTAGGGGTGGAATCCAAGCCTACGTCTAATCCCCCGGTGATGGAAAGGGGAAGGCGGAATTAAATCGTGTAATTCCATCGCACACTCTCCGTGATATATCGTGTAAAATACCGATAAACTTCACGGCGGTGTTCAAGGCTCTGCAGCTTCGCCTCTACTAATTCCGAGTCACCTATAAGTCTCTTTATATTAACAGTGGATTGTATCGAGTTCTTAGGTTTTCGCGATTGTTACACATAGGAAATGAAACTATTTTTCCGGATTTAAATCGCGTATATTTGTTTTTTCAAACAAACCGACGTTTCGGGCCCTTTACAGGTCCCATGGTCACGGTTGACTGAGGTGGTACAGTCTTCCACCAGTTATGTCTAATATTAAGGCAAACCACCCTATTTTCTCACTATAGTTACAATAGTTATTAATTAAATACCTTATTTTTAATTTTACAAAGAAAACATTCCAATTTACGCCACATTAAGTTTTACAAATTATTTTATTGGATGAATTTTTATTAAGTTTTATTTATTATTAATGATTAATAGATATTAGAATAAACTAAAACATATTAATTAGTACTGCAGTCTTATGTCTGTTTGGGATTTTTCATTAGAGGAAATACTGGATCCCAAACTGGTGGTACGGAGAAACCATCTTCCCTGTTGAAATTAGGATGTTTTTTAATTTCAATGGCCTCTCGCAGCATCCTGGGCAGATAACGGACTTCTTTTGCAAGGACCTGGGGTTTGTCAAACTTCATTGAATGTGTAGGTTTGTCCATGACATGCTCGCAGACTGCAGACTTGTTTACGCGACGGTGTTTGACATCAGCTATATGTTCTTTGACGCGGGTACAAATACTTCGCTTTGTTTGTCCAATATAAGAGAGACCGCACTCACAGTCAAGCTTGTAAACTCCTGCATCCTGTAAGGGGATGTTACATTTCACGGGTACAGTGGATTGTACCTCCTACGACTGTTATCAAACCTGTGTAATGAAACATGTACTATGGCGCCAGTTCACATACGCGTGCCGCCATAGGGCTGGCTTTGGGCGAGGTAAGTGGTAGGCCTTCGGCATCCAGACTCGAACTCTCTGGAAATAGTGAGGCAAAAAGAAACGCCTTCTCTTTTCTCTTATGGGCCAGCGTGCCGTCGCTTGTTGCTCAATTAAACAAACCAACACTGTCTAACCAGAAACTGACACTTATTGAAAATTTGTTACATAGCGTAATATATAATATTCAATTCAAAATCTCGAATGTAATGTTGGAACCATTGACTTACAAACAAATGGACGACGGGTCTAATACAAAAACCACGAAAAAAATGTCCCAAGTCAACCTATTTAAACGTAGTGACGGGTAGTAAAGGAATATGAAAAAGTTAAAACGTTGAATTTAAATTGTAATGTCATCGCAGTACTGTCTAATTTTGCTTCCTTCGCTGTCAGTCGAACAAACGAAGACTAAAGCGTGAATGACGCTCTGTATACGATTTTAACGCCCTATAAGTTCGGACACTTTTTAGCGCGGACCTGACGTCCATATAATTGTAAGTCAATGGTTGGAACGCATACAAAACAAATTTAC